TTCCTTGTGTACGCCATGGCTGTTAGAGCTGCATACTACGGTCATTTATTTTGAAGAGATTAAGCAACAGGGTAAGGTTAGGAACTGCAAAATACTGTCTTGGAGGCCAGGAAACTAGCTCAAAGAGCGAGAGCCAGAAGTCGCCTCTGAGCACGGCCAGGATGGCCTCAAAACCGATTCTGTGTTTTGTTTACATGTAATCTCTTATATTCCTCTTTAGATTTTTAAAAATATAATTATTCAGCTCTCTGGCCACGCTGGAGATACCCAGAGAATTGCATACAAAGAGATCCATTGATGTGCATGAATTTGAAGCTAAAGGAAGGCTTGAGCTTTCTAAATTGAAGCTCATGGATTAGAATGGTCCTAAATGGGGCTTGAGAGGGAGGGAAGCTTACCCTGCACACAGCCAACCCGGGCTGGATCCCCGGCACTGAGTGTGGTTTCCTGAGCCATCCCAGGAATGATCCCTGAGCACAGAGCTAGTAGTAGGCCCTGAGCACTGAGCAGTGCAGGGTACACGCCCCCCTCATGTGAAAGGTTTAAGTTCAGATTGGCAAAGTACTAAGCAGTATTTTACAGGGCTTCGAAACATGATTGAAAAGTTAAGCATGAATATTCATTTCATTACACTTCTTTTCTCTATGCATACACACACCACACACACACACACACACACACACACACACACACACAGATATGTAGTAGAATGTGAAGGAATTCTGAAAAGCTTCGTGAAAATTCGTTTGTCTCTGAAAGTTCTCGAGATTATCACTGCTCTTCTGTTATTCTAAGTGGAAGGAATAGTGTTTGCATTTCATCTGAGTTGCTTATTCAGTTTAAAAATAAAGATCATCTAAAACGTGATGGTAAGCTGTCGTTTAAGGGAAGTAAAGGTTATTTGCTGAAGGGAGGAGATGGTTGGACCACAGTGCTTAGGCAGTGCTTAGGATCCGTTCTTGATTCTGTGCACGGCCAGGATGGTCTCCAAACTGATTTTGTATTTTGTTTACGTGATACAAAGAGGAGGTCCCTTCTTGAATGCTCCGTGGGCCAAATATCATCACCTGTCAGGGATCGAACCAGGATTGGTTGCATCTTAATCCTTGTACTGTTTTTCTGGCTTGAAGTGATCTGCTTTTGAATTTTATTTTACTGTTGTAAACTTACCTTGTGACACAAAGGATTCGTCTGTCACATCTTGGGATTTAAGCAATCGGAAGGAAATACCGGTGAAAATGGGAACACTTGTGGAAAACCAAGCTGACGCCCGTTATTTTTTTTTTCTGGCCGTTTATTCACTTTGTAGATCCTATTGACATCAACAGGTACTTGTCACTGTTGAACGTACTGGTAGTGTACTCGTAGTTGCTTGTAGTTAATAGTGCTTAGATGGGTATTTTTTAATATTCTTTTTTAAAAATTTTTATTAGTGAAACGCCATGAGGTACAGTTGTAGACTTACACATTTTTGTGCTTGGGTTTCAATTATACAATGATCAAATACCCATCCCTCCACCAGTACCCATTTTCCACCACCACGGGTCCCAGTACCCTCCCATCCCCCATCCCCCTATCCCACCCTGCCTTTGTGGCAGGGCATTCCCTTTTGTTCTCTCTCTCCTTTTGGGTGCTGTGGTTTGCAAAAGAGGCATCGAGTGGAAACCATGTTCGGTCTATAGTCTACTTTCAGCATGCATCTCCCATCCTGGGAGGATCCTCCCACCACCCTTTATTTGGTGCTCCCTTCTCTATCTCCCTTCTCTTTTCCCCTAGCATGTGCGGCTGGCCTCCAAGCCATGGAGTAAACCTCCTGGTACTTATCTCGGCTATTCTTGGGGGTTAGTCTCCTATTCTGTTACTTTATATTCCCCAGATGAATGCAATCTATGTCTGTGCCTCTCTTTCTGACTCATTTCGCTTAGCATGATACTTTCCATGTAGTACCACTTGTATGTAAGTTTCATGACTTCATCTTTTCTAACAGCTGCATAGTACTCCATTGTGTAGATGTACCAAAGTTTCTTTAACCGGTCATTGGATGGGTATTTGAATGTTGAAAGGTCTGTGGCTTATAGCTAGAGAGGCCCCAAACATGAGTCACAAAGGAGTTGGTGAGTATGATATGAATCATCCTTTATTTTTTTAAACCCTTGCCTTTCCTTTTTGTTGTATTGCTGCTGCTAAGGTGGCAGTGACGGGTGCTTATGCACACTTTTTTTTTTTTTTTGTGGGGCTCACGGGGGATGGCACGTTTAATTTGAGATGCTTGCACTGGTGCTCGCTGGAGGTCCTGCACATTCTGTTGTGGAGCCCACAGAGGTGCTTCTGGGTGGCTGTGGTGCTCTGGCACTTCCATGTGCCCGGCTGTGGTGTGTTAGGGACGGCCACTCTGTAGCGGTGTCAGGGACCTCTGACAACAGAGCTGCTGAGACCGCTCCACACCTGTGCATAGAACCAGCACCTGGGAATGAACTTGAACGCGTTCTTGGCCTCAGGTAGACACTTGTGCCCACTTGGGGCCCCTTGTTTCGAAACTCTTAAGGAAATTTTTGCTTTGTTAGGCAATTTATTTTTCATGCTTGTAATAAGATATGCGGAAAAGACTATGTAATCAACTAAGATGATAAATTTTTAAATATTTTTTCCTCTTTTTGTTTTTTTTCTTTCTTTTTTGGGTCACACCTGGCGATGCACGGGGATTACTCCTGGTAGGCTCTGCACTCAGGAATTACTCCCGGCAGTGCTCAGGGGACCATATGGGATGCTGGGAATCGAACCCGGGTCGGCTGCGTGCAAGGCAAATGCCATACTCATTGTACTGTCACTCCAGTCCTTTATTTATTTATTTATTTATTTTAGAATGACTTGCTTTAAAGAAAGGGATTTTTTTGGGGGGGTCACATCTGGTGATGCACAGGAGTTACTCCTGGCTCTGCACTCAGGAATTACCTCCAGCGGTGCTTGGGTGACCATATGGGATGCTGGGCATCGAACCGGGGTGGCAGCATGCAAGGCAAACGCCATGCCCATTGTACTATCACTCCAGTTCTTCCTTCCTTCCTTCCTTCCTTCCTTCCTTCCTTCCTTCCTTCCTTCCTTCCTTCCTTCCTTCCTTCCTTCCTTCTAGAATGACTTGCTTTAAAGCAACAGCTTACTTTCAGTATTTCTTTTTCTTCTGGTTTCCAGTTGTCTTTTTTTTTTTATTATGTCGTTAGGTAATTTTTATATCTTAGATCTTTTGGTTACTCTGTGGGGCACGATCACTCCATGTTTTCAAAGTGGATTAAAGAAGTTTAATCCATGCATGTAAAAACTAGATTACCTAGATAGACTGCGAAGCTTGAGCCATGTGTGGTGATGGCGGGCTTCTGGCCTGCTTCTTTCTTGACCACTTTTTAGCGACTTTCCTGATAGCTAATGCAAAATAACGCAGCCCAGAATGACTCAAAGGTGAGAAAATGGAAATGTGCTGGTCAGCTGTGGGATAGCTGTATTCGTGGCCTGCTCTGACATTTTTCTGTCTAGCACAAACATTCTAGTAGACCAAATATTTACAGGAGTTGAACAAAGGCCAGTTGAACAAAGCGTCTGGGAAACCATTGGTAGTTTGGGCCCTAAGATGAAAACTTTAAATCAGACCCATGGAATGGAAGAGGCAATTATTTCAGCAGCCTTTTTGCCGCTTGTTCATAGAGGATATGTTTCATACCTCCAGCATGGGTGCCTGGGATCATGGATGCTATTGAGCACTATATAGTCCATTTTCTCTCACACATTTATACTTGTGATAACCGTTAACTCGTTTGTTAGGCACAGCAAGAAGAGATCAACAAAAATAATTTAAAAAGAGCAATTGCAACAACAGAATGTAATGCAGAGTAAGTGAATGGGGGTGGTCTCTTGTGGTCTCTCTCCCGAATACCTTTCTATATGGAATATTTCCAGGCCACCGTTCATTATGTTTTCACTTTATGGATAATTGAGGGGTGAGGGGCGTATTACGTAGCTTGAGTGTTAACTCTCTGTGGATGTTAATGGGAAGGAAGCTGTAGGAATTTCTTGTGAAAAGTACAAGGTTTATGTTTTGCCGTGGCAATTTTGGGTCTAGATTATAGTTTTAGCATCAATTCTGAAACAGTGGTAGACTGACAGAAAGTTTCAGAAATAGTGCATAGTGTCATGTACACCTTCGTCAGACTTACATCTGTGGACTTTTAAAGTGTTTTCTCTGGCATCTTGACCATGTGTCCCTGAAAGTAGGGGAACAAACTGGGAGATGAAGTCTTACTCTTCTGCTGAGACTCTGGGCAAGGTATCAGGAGTGATGAATAAGATCAGGACTGTGTGTTTAAAGTACTGTAACTCTAGGTAGTTGTCCAGTTTGCATTCATCTAAGTATTTTAACGAAGCAATAGTTCCACTTGTCTTCTTTTTTTTTTCTTTTCTTTTTGGGTCACACCCAGCGATGCTCAGGGGTTAATGCTGGCTCTGAATTTAGGAATTACTCCTGGCGGTGCTTGGGAGACCATATGGGATGTTGGGAATCGAACCAGGTTGGCTGTGTGCAAGGCAAACACCCTATCCGCTGTGCTACCACTCCAGCCCTCCACTTGTCTTCTTGAGTTGTTAATCTGAAAGATTCTTTTTTGAAGATTTTAAATTTACTTTTTTTTCCTTTTGGGTCACACCCAGCGATGCTCAGGGTTTACTCCTGGCTCTGCACTCAGAAATTACTCCTGGCGATGCTTGGGGGACCATATGGGATGCCGGGGATTGAACCCGGGTCGTCCGCATGCAAGGCAAACGCCCCATCCACTGTACTATCACTCCGGCCCCTAAATTTACTTTTTAATTAGTGAGAAAATAAAAATTAAAACCTTGCATGAATGAGAACATCACATGAGGTATGTTTCTACTTGTCCTCTTTCTAGTTTCCGATCTAAAGATGACCCTTCGTTCTAGTTCTAAGAGTTTTAAATTGCTTTTTTTCTACCTAGGTTCGAAAACATGTGAATGATCTTTATGAAGACTTAAGAGATGGACACAACTTGATCTCTCTTCTAGAAGTTCTTTCAGGGGACACCTTGGTAAGTTTTGAACTTCTTGACTTATTTGGAAAAATATGCAATATGTTTTCAAAATGCACAAAATAGGTGTGGTTGAGCACAGACAATTCTGATTTTTTTTCCCCCTAAAGTGTTTATTTGATTCACATATTATTGCCTGAGAACGAGTTCTGGTTAGATTCGTAAACATTTTGAGACTTCGAATGTTGCGGATTTGGGAAAATGAAACACCTTGATTACCTTGCTTATATAACCAGTCCTATAATGAAAAACACTCTTTGTGTTCTTGCTTCTTTTTTTTTTTTTACCTTCGGCTTTTGCTTAGCAGAAATTGGATGCATACTATAACAGCATATTAAAATTCTCTTGCCCGGTAGCAAGGAAATGAACATTGCTTTCTAAAATCTGGTCTAACCCATCCACAGGTGTCATTGCCTTTTTTTGTGAACATTCCTTCCCCTTCTCGGTTACTTGTTCTCCTTCATTATGTTCTGTTCATGCTCTTCTTTTCGTTTTTGGTCTGTCTTGTGTCTTTGCTGTTCTATCTTCTGTCTGTTATATTCATTAGCCAAGGGAGCGAGATATTTTGAAGACCTTACGATTGGTGAGTGCCACAGAAGCATGCGCAATTGAACAGCATGAGGATGTGGAGGATGAGGATAAGGGGGTAGGTGTCGGCCCCCATAACTCGACTAACCGAGCCGTTACGGTGCTGTGAGAGCTAATGTGATAGCGAAGTAACCCACGGGTTCAGGCTCCTTTTTAGAAAACGACAGAAAGGACCCAGACCCAGAGTGAGGTAGATGGTGTGTGTTCCCCTCAAAAAAAAATGGATAAAGGCAATATTTTCTCTTTAAATTTATTTGTGCATTGTAGTGCACTTCAGAGTCAGCAAAGATCTGAACTTCAATTATGTGATGGTGACTTAGCTAAAAGTAAAAATAAAGAAAATACCCACCACATTTGATATAAATAGGACAAAACCCTTAGCTTAATTTTTATACCAATTTAGTCCACTGTTGGAATTTTATATCTTAAACAGGGCAATTGCTTATATTTTTATTTAAAAGGAATTTTAATTATTTATTATTTATATTTTTATTTATATTTTTATTTAAAAGGAAGGTTTGGAAATGATATTTAGTATTGAGATTTATGCCTTTGAATTTTACCTGTTGTCAAAATATTTGACGGGCATTCTCCCTTACCTCCATGTCTTGTTTTACTGAGAGTGGAGGCAGATTCTCAAATCTGGAGTGCCGACAGAGCTCCAAGAGCTGTTTCATCTCCGTGATATTTAGTTGACAGTAGCCTGCCGCGGGAGACATAGGTCCTGCTTTTTTGTCCTACATCCATTCGAGTCCTCATTACAGTTTGTCTTTTTTTTGTTTTGGATGCAGTGGGTGAACTTATGTATCATATCTACCTGTCATCTAGAGCTTATTTTACCCCTTTATTATGCTGCCTTGAGCTTCAGCAAAACCTTTTCATATTTGAGAAGCTAAGCCGTCCATTTGTCTTTTTCTTTTTGCCCTCTGAAAGATTTTATGTGGTAAATTTCGGCTCCATTTTTTTTTTTTTTTTGGATTTTGTTAAGCATTCTCCTGGCTCTGTTTCCTTATGTTTTTCCCTCTGCTAACTTGTAAGTTCCTCTCTCAAGGGAAACAGCATCAAGGAAAAGAATCGTGGGTCTGTTAGTTTTCCTGAAGTCGTGAATAACCAGATCCGTAGCCTTAGCGACGTAATACTATCACAGAGTCCACCTGATTTGGGGAAAAAGCAAAAATAAAATAAAGAGGAAATATATTCTCTGACTTTTAATTGTTTCTCTCTTCCTCTCTCCCGGCTGATTAAAACTCCACTCTCTTTGTCCCTCTTGGTGGTGTTAATGCTAACTGCATGCTAGTTTCATTATTTTCATTAACATGTCACACAGAAGTAAAACTCCCGTTGGTGATTTTTATAATTCACTAAGAAGGAAAAATTGAGAGATCACATTTAATTCTCTCTGTGCATCCATAGGTAAAGGAACTATAGACTAGAATTTGGGATAGTGACTATAAAAAGATAATTTTATGTTATTTTTACTTTGTGTAAATAAAGTATTTACAATAAGTTGTATGTTTAAACAAAACATTTGCAAAATTCCTTAGTAGTTTCGGCTCAATCCTAGATAATACAAAGAAATTTATAATTAAGAATTCAGCGGGCTTACCCAAAAACAGTGAATGCAATGTTGACTTTTTAGTATTAACTTAAAGTATAAATATTTAGCATACTTAGCGTAAATATATTTAGCAAAATCAGTGGTATCAGAGACTATAATGTGTTTTATACTGTGCATTTTTCTATTCTTAGCCCAGAGAGAAAGGGCGGATGCGTTTTCACAGACTACAGAATGTTCAAATTGCACTTGACTATTTGAAAAGACACCAGGTAAGATGTTCTCAAGTGTAGCAGTTATGTAAACACGTGTAACTAAGTAAATATATATAGAGCTATGTCTGGAAATAAAAACATTGAATTTGTAAATTACAATAATTGAGTTTATGCTTCTGTGAGAGACAGAAATATATCTGGAAATAAAAGCACGAATTTGTAAATTATAATAATTAAACTTATTCTTTGGTGACAGACATATTTTATTTCTTCTTTCTTTATTGTATTTTTAGCTTTTTGGGTCGCACCCGGCGATGCTCAGGGATTACTCCTGGCTCTGCACTCAGGAATTACTCCTGGCGGTGCTTAGGGAAACCATATGGGATGCTGGGAATTGAACCCGGGTTGGCCACGTGCAAGACAAATGTCCTACCCGCTGTGCTATCACTCCAGCCCCGACAGACATATTTTAAAATATTTAAAAATATTTACTCCAAAGAGCAGGAAGTAGTTGTAAGCCCAAAGAATTACAAGTGATTAGATTTCCATTTGACTAAAAGCTAGTGGTTACTTTCTGTTCTGGTTAGAATATTTTTGCCTGGGAAGTTCATGGCATTTTCTTCATTTATTTATTTGGTTTCTTGGGGTCTACTCCTGGCTCTGTGCTCTGGATCTCTCCTGACGAGACTTGGGAAATTGCATGTGGTAGTGGGATTGAGCCCAGATTGACCTTGTGCAGGGCAAGCGCTGTATCTGCTGTATTCTGGACCCTTTGGCATTGTAATAGCCATGGTGGTTTTTTTTTTCCATGCTCACGTGACCAGATAGGGTCCTGGAGATAAAATCGGGGTGGGCCATCCCCATGCAAGGCAAATGCCCTTATTCCTGTACTATTGCCCTGGCCCAAGAGCAGAAGAATGTTAGGAATGTGCATGGTGTGTGAACAGGGCCACGATGATCCAATGATCGTACAACATAGAGGGCGCTTGTCTTGGACATGATATAGTCAAGTTTGATTCCCCATGACCACATATGGTCCACTGAACCCGCCAGGGGTGATCCCTGAGTTGCAGAGTCAGGAGTCATCCCTGAGTGCTAGCAGGTTTGCTACCCAAACCCAGAATACAAAAGACTGTGTATGAACACTTGTTACTAGTGGGGAAGCCTGACGTTGTTTTTCATACTTAGTCTGTAAAATAATAATGCCTCTGAAAAACAGTGTAGACTGCAGAGATAGCTCAGATTCAGAGCTCAGATGCTGGAATGCAGAACCCTGAAATTGCTCCCTGGCATGCATGCCCCCCTCTGACTTCTATCACCTGGCAGCACTGAGTGGCATCTTGGTCACCAGTTTCCAGAAATGACTGTGACCTGGTGAGAACGACTCTATTTAATCTTTAGTAGTGACAAGGCAATATTTGTTTCTACAGGGAGATAGTAGTGAGTAATTTTTAAATGGTTAAAAAGAAAACTTCTAACAGTCCCCAGCTTTCATGAGATTTTATAAGAAATCAGGGAAATGATGCATCACCGTACATCCTGGATTTTTTTTTCCTTTTTCTTTTTGGGTCATACCCGGTGATGCACAGGGGTTACTCCTGGCTCAGCAACTCAGTAATTATTCCTGGCGGTGCTCGGGAGACCATATGGGATGCTGGGAATCGAACCCGGGTCGGCCGCATGCAAGGCAAACGCCCTACCTGCTCTGCTATCGCTCTAGCCCCTGTCCTAGATTTTAAAACAAAGTGTTAATGCATTTTTCAGTGAGTCATCAAAAAGTTAAAAAAAAACAGGAGAATTGGAGATTCTAAATATAAATAGAAAACAACGAGAAATCAGAGGTGTCAAATTTTTCTTTTTAATGGGAAAGGAAAATGGAAGGGAGGGAAAGAGACAGAAAGAAACACCATCTGTCGTTGTTTGTTCGTTTGACTTGTTCTGAATGTTTGTAGTTTATTAAGCTGGAGTAAATAGTACTAAATTATTTTAAGTACTTGCTATATTATAATTCTAATGGAAGCTTTCAGAAGGATTATTGAATAGTTGATTATGTCTTCCCGTCTGAAGATTCCTGGTACTGCTTTTTATCACTTAATTTTTGAGGGTGTTTTTTTTTTTTTTTTTTTTTTTTTTGCTATTTGGTCCACACCCAGCGATGCTCAGGCATTACTCTTACTCCTGACGGTGCTTGGGGGACCATATGGGAAGCTGGGAATCGAACCTGGGTCTGCTATGTGCAAGGCAAACGCCCTACCCACTGTACTGGTTCCAGCGCCAGTAATTTTTGAGTTTTTAATTGATACTTTATTCTGTTGTTCAGGATGTATCGGATCACTACATTGATTTGCCTCAATGCATAGTTTTTCAGTTGATAAGCTTTATGTCTGATTTTTGTGTAGCATTGTAGCACTGTTTTCCCATTGTTCATGGATTTTCTCGCCCAGTAATAATAATAATTATTACGGCACCAGTAACGTCTCCATTGTGAGACTTGTTGTTACTGTTTTTGGCATATCAAGTATGCAAGGGGAGCTTGCCAGGCTTTGCCGTGCAGGCGAGATATTCTCGGTAGCTTGCTGGGCTCTCCGAGAGGGGCGGAGGTATCGAACCCAGGTCTGCCATGTGCAAGGTTTATGTTCTAAACTATCTGAAAGACTTTCTAAATATTCGCTGACTCACTCATTTATCTTAGTAGTCCTTTCTGATATACAAATAAAAAGTAATGCTGTTTTTTTAAAAAGCTTTTGTTTTCCATAAACACGAGAAAGTTAAAATTCCTCTGTGGTTCAAAAGTTAGTTTTTTTAAAAAAATAAATAATTTTGGGGTGGTGAAGTTCCTGCTTGCTCCAGTCAGCTTAGTCAGTGGCTGAATAAACAACAATACATTGAAAGAAAAATTTTGGGGGGCATACACTTCTGTGCCCACATTTATGCCTAGGTCTGCACTGTGGGGTCAGTCCTAGTAGGGCTTAGGGGACCATATGTGGCGCCCAGGATTGAACTTGGATAGGGTGTTTGCAAAGCAAAGGCCCTATCTACTTTTATTCTGGACCCACTTTCTTAGTTATTAATTAGTTTATTTAAAAGTAAGTAAGTAAGTAAGTAAAGGCCCTCCCGTTGATCATCGATTTGCTCGAGCGGGCCCAGTAACGTCTCCATTGGAGACTTTGTTGTTACTGTGTCTGGCATATCGAATACGTCACGGGGAGCTTGCCAGGCTCTGCCGTGCGGGCGAGAGAATTATTATAATTAAAAAACTATTGTATTTAGACCCTCTTACATAGATTATATTTTTTAACAAACGAGATTATAAAAATAATACCCATTTCTCCTTTGCAATTACTTTATAATTTGCCAACTAAAATGAATTTAGAAAATAAGAAAATATTTTGAATATAACTGGTATTTAAGTGACTGATTCTTATCTTTTACAATTTCAAATTGCTTTTATATAGATGAGGCTAACTCATGTGCTGGTTTTAAAAAATTTTTTTTTTAAAAAATAACAGGTGAAATTGGTGAACATCAGAAATGATGACATAACAGATGGAAATCCAAAATTGACCTTGGGATTAATATGGACAATAATTTTGCACTTCCAGGTAAGATCACATTTTCTTAATTGCCTTTTCATTTACCTTCCTCATTGCAAGTTTTCAAGTGGATCATATGAAGGGTGAATTAGGTATTCGTGTACTATGGAAAAAAATACGTATAAGACATACTATTACTGTTTGAGTTGTTTCAAGTAACATATTGTATCTGTATCTTTGCCCTGGTTTCTGTTGTTACAAATCTAGGTGTGTGATTTTTAGTTTCTGTTTTCTTTCGATTTTCTATAATGTATATGTTTTTAATAGTGCTTGTAATCATATTCATAATCTTAGAATGGTAATGCAGAGATTTCTTTGTATTGAACTTAGATGTTTCTTTTGTTTACGGGACACCGTTACCGGATTTAGACACAAAATTTCTTTGGTCTTAGTTCTTGCTTAGAACGGTTTTCATTGATTATTTCTGATTTACACAAACTGTCTTCTACGAATCGACACTAGATGGCAGTAGAACTATCACAAAGCACGATCTTGACGATCTTGTCTTAGAAGTATTGGTATTTTCTGTAGCCATGTGTTTTTCCAGCTAGATTTGAGGGGACTGAATGCCCGTGTATTACCTAGGTATCGCTTAACAAATCTGTGTCAACTGGGGACTGATTTGGATGTTTGTAAAATGATTCATTTAGGAAAAGTCATTTTTTTTTTTTTTTTGGTTTCAGGTGGGTGCTAGCTTTTCAAGGGTTTGCTTGCCGAGACAGTGTTGTGTGTCCCACAGAGCCTCACCCTGTGGGCGAGCCCGGCACAAGCCTGAGTGACTGGCAGAAGATTGGGCCTCAGGGGAGGACGGGACAGTTTGCTTGTTCAAAAAGAGCAGAAGTTTTGTTTTTGTTTCTTTTCGCTACACCTGGCTGTGCTCAGGGCTTCCTTCGGGTCCTGCACTCCTGGCGAGGTTTGGGGGACTGTGTCAGGTGCCAGGAATCGAATTTGGTTCAGCAAAGCAAACAGCCTACTTGTTGTACTCCTTCTTCAGCCCTAGAAGCTCAAGTTTGGAACTAAATCTTGGGCAGACTTACTTGTTATTTTAATTATTGACTCGTCTAACAAAGGCTTAGGCTCATTTCAGTCTACTTTACATAGAATTGTAGATTCCAGTTTCCTAAAACATTATTTTTTAGGCTCAGAGTGGTTCAGAGACTTAAGCAATGCCATCACAGTCATGGATGAGTTAGTGATGAAACTTAGCTCTGGCCCTTTCCAAATCCCGGGTGTTTCCCACAAATCACAATCACAAATCATCCTGTTATTCGTCGATTGCCTCGAGCAGGCCCCAGTAACGTCTCCTTCATCCTAGCCCTGAGATTATATTCAAGGCTCTTTAGGAGAATGAGATCCATCATTGTTACTGGTATTTGGCATATTGGGTACGCCACGGGGAGTTTGCCAGACTCTGCCGTGTGGGCAGGCTACATTCGGTAACCTGCCAGTCTGTCCAAAGTAGGAATGAGATAATAAGATGTCGCGTGGCACTGTTTCCCACTGCCCCACAATGATCTTAACCCTGACACGAAGAACCCAGACATGGCAACCTCATTGGCTCTGTCAGTAATGATGCAGGTGGTTCCTGGTTCCATCAGAATTCCCTATATTCAGGCAGTTCCACCTATTCTGAAAGTTACCCATCTGATCCACGTGGGGCAAATCAAAGAACCCCTGAAACACTGCTAAAGAACTCCAAGTGAACTAAGCTTTTTGGCCAGTTCTACTTAGTCCTCAACCAATTCAGCAAAGGTCTGGTTCCATGCTCAAATCCTGTGCTGAATTAGTTAATGTATAGGATCATCTTCAGTTGCATAAGGATGAGATCCTCCAATAATAAGAACCCATTTACCCTTGGGGTTATTCTCCTGTTACTGTTACTGACTTCCCTGTCACCAGTAGCCCAGATTAAGTGGACATTTCACCTTTATTACCTAAGGCTGCAACCTGCCTTATTCATACCTGGGTCTTCTGGTACCTGGGGCTACTTAGTTAACTTCCTTAAATTTCCTACTGCTACAACTTTTGCAGGCTGGAGCGATAGCACAGTGGTAGGGCATTTGCCTTGCGCACAGCCAGCCCGACTGAGCCGGGTTTGATTCCTCCGCCCCTCTTGGAGAGCCCAGCAAGCTACCAAGAGTGTCTCACCCGCACAGCAAAGCCTGGCAAGCTACCGTGACGTATTCAATATGCCAAACACAGTAACAAGTCTCAAAAAATGGAGACGTTACTGGACCCGCTCAAGCAAAATCGATGAACAACGGGAGGACAGTGTTTGTTATTTGACAACTTGTGCTCAACTGCTTACTTACCTAGGAAAGACTATCTAGACTCTAATTATAACTCTCCATATCTGTCATGTTTATTCTATTCCCAAATAAATTCCAGGACTATTATTTCCCCTATAAACCTTAATTTTCCCTACAACCGATGAGGCTGTCTGGGTTCTTCATGTCAGAGTTAAGATCACTATGGGGCAGTGGGAAACCCCCGGGATTTGGAGAGGCCAAAGCTAAGAGTCATCCATCACTAACTCATCTATGACTGTGAGGGCATTGCATAAGTCTTTGAAGCACTCTCAGCCTAAAAACAATGTTTTAGAAAACGGAATCCAATCCTCTGTAAAATAGATTAAAATGAGCCTAGGCCTTTGTGAGAGAGAGGTGGTGACCTTGGAATAGATTGATAAAGGTTACAACACAGATGGAGTGAAAACTTGAAGAGTTTTCATTTTGAGGAAGGGCGGAAGATGCGTGGCGACCAGGCCTTGAGGATGAAGGAGAATGATTAAACATGACAAAGCTTTTTTTTTATTGGTGTTTGGGGCAGACCCAAAGTGTTCTGTGCCCGTTGAGGCTTCTGGGAGTGCTCTGGGGACCATGTGGTGCTGGGGATGGGGCCCGGATCTCTTGCATAATTGCGTCTATTGAACTATTTTTTTGTCTCTGACACAGTTCATTTTTTTGACAGAAATACTATTGAGTATAAATATTTATATGTTTTAGGAATGCAGTGTTACCACATGACACCTATTACCAAAGTGCCATTCTATGTCTTCCTTAGAGTCCTTTAGACCCTATGAGCCCCTTGGTCTAAGGTATTATTCTTTTCCATTATTGACTGTGATTAAGTATTTTTAGAGATGGAGCGATAGCACAGCGGTAGGGCATTTGCCTTGCGCACAGCCAGCCTGGCTGAGCCGCGTTCGATTCTTCCGCCCCTCTCGGAGAGCCCGGCAAGCTACCGAGAGTATCTCCTCCGCATGGCAAAGCCAGGCAAGCTACCGGTGATGTATTCAGTATGCCAAACACAGTAACGGCAAGTCTCAAAAAAATGGAGACGTTACTGGGCCCATTCTAGAAAACTGATGAACAACGGGAGGACAGTGTTTGTTTTTGTTATGACTAAATATTTTTTATTTTAATTTTAATTTTTTTTTCTTTTGGGGTCACACCCAGCGATGGACAGGGGTTCCTCCTGGCTCTGCACTCAGGAATCACTCCTGGTGGTGCTCAAGGGACCATATGGGATGCTGGGAATCAAACCTGGGTCGTCCGCGTGTAAGGCAAACGCCCTCCCTGCCGTGCTATCACTCCAGCCCCGGCTAAATATTTTTAACATGGATGATAGTAGCAAAATTGGAACAATAACAACAAAGAAGTCCCCAAACAACAGGCACTGTGAGCAATGGGGATGATGGTAAAGGGGAAGCAGAAAGACTTTCTGGGTGTGTTCAGGCCTCCTGAGCCGTCTTGTACACCCGTCAAGTGATCATTTAGGTGAAAGCAGAACTCAAAAGTCAAGGGTACAAAAAAACAAACGCGTGAGTTAATTGAATACAAGCGTTTTTGCCTCTCTCAGAAGGCGAGTGGTTTTGGAGTATACAGGAGCATAAATGGAGAGGAATTAAGAGCTATGGCTAGAAATTTGGCCAAGGCCTGTCATGCAGGAGGAAGATCTGAGGAGATAGAGAAGGAACATACGGAGAGGTGGAAGAACCACCAAGAAAATGTGGCATTGATGAAACCAAGGTTGGAGAATTTGAAGTAGAAAGGAATTGAAATGCCCCTGGCACGCATAAAATTCACACTGAATACAGGTAGTTGGGCTGGAGTGATAGCACAACTGGTAGGGCATTTGCCTTGCATGTGGCCGACCCGGGTTCGATTCCTCCTTCTCTTTCGGAGAGCCCGGCAAGCTACCGAGAGTATCCTGCCCGCATGGCAGAGCTGGCAAGCTCCCCATGGTGTATTCAATATGTGAAAAACAGTAACAACAAATCCCACAATGGAGATGTTACTGGGCCCGCTTGAGCAAATTGATGAACATTGGGCCCGGTCCAGCCTTGTTCGATTCCTTCACCCCTCTCGGAGAGCAAGATACCAAGAGTATCTCGCCCGCATGGCAAAGCCTGGCAAGCTACCCATGACATAATCGATATGCCAAACACAGTAACAAGTCTCAAGATGGAGACGTTACTGGGCCGGCTCGAGCAAATTGATGAACAACGGGAGGACCATGACCGTGACCGTGGGAGGACAGTGCAATCAGTGCTACCGTGCCACAGGTAGACAGGTTTGTTTAGAGGAAGGACATTGGGGACCCTGGAGAAGACCCTGCCAAGCTACTGGGAGCAAAAATTGGCACTCACCAGAGGAGACTGTAAATACCTGGCTGAGAATGACCTCGATTTTTAGGAAGTTCAAAGCAAAAGGCGTTTCAGAAGATATCTATAAAAGATTCTCTGGGTTCAGGTGTCTTTAGGAGGGGGGAGCATCAGTCCCAGAAGGACCAAGACAAGTTTTGCTCCGACTACTATCCTGTGATCTATATTAGGGAATCCAGTATATTTTTTAAAAATTTTATTTTTAATGAATCACCGTGGGGTACAGTTACAGACTTAAGAACTTTCATGCTTACATTTCAGTCATACAATGATCGAGTACCCATCCCTCCACCAATGCCCATTCTCCACCACCAATGATCTAGGTATTCCCCCCCCCCCCCCC